ATATTTTTTAAAAATAGGGGCCTCCCTGGGGGTGCAAAGGGTTAAGATGCAGCACTGCAGCAGGAATTTGATCCCTGGCCAGGAAGGTGACCTGCATAGCACAGCAGACCTTTCCTGACTTGCCAGCTGCGGCCCTCAGCCATGTATTTCAGTAGATCTGCCTGTTCTGCTCCCCACTCTCTAATGAATCCTCTCATCCCTTGCACCTCTGTCCTGTACCCCAGTTCTTATATGCACAAATAAAAAAAATCTTTAAAAAAAAAGAATAAAACAAAATAATGACAATAACAGTATTTAATTAATGGTAATATTTGGAAGTTCACATAATTTTGGAACAGTGCCTCATTCATAGACATTCTCGGTAAATATCAGTAGGTTGAATTTTAATGGGCAATAGACAAAACTCATCTGTCATGATACTACAAAAGAGCTATAAGAGTTGTTTTAGAAAAAAAAAAATACAACGCAAAAAAAGAGTTGTTTTAGGGTCTCCCCTGGTGGCCCAGGCGGTTGAGCGCAGCGCTGTGAAGCTGTCTGAAGCCTCTGCAGCGCCGGTTCGATCCTGGCCAGCTGCAAGACTCCCACATGGCGCGGCAGACCTCTCCTGTCTTGCCCGCTGCTCCCCTCAGCAGTGTATTTCGTCAGTCTGCCTGTTCTGCTTCCCGTTTTGTCTCTGGTGAATCCTCTCACCCTCCCCCAAATCTGGCCTGTACCCCCGTTCTTGTATAAATCAATCTTTTTTTTTTTTTTAAAAAGAGTTGTTTTAGAAGGAAGAGTTCATTATAAGCACTAAACAGCCACAATATTGTAATCCCTTCAAATTTTCTCGTGGTTCTGAGATGACTATATCATCTCTTGATGCCAGCCCACTGCTCGGTTGTACTGTTGTAGCTCACAGTTTATAGGTACATGACACCGGCATGTCCAAGTTTTAGAGCAAGGAGAAAACTTGGCTCCTGCCTATCTCTTCTTGAAGTTTCTCTCCAAAATATGCCAGGTTTGTGGAGAGATCCGGCTATGCACTACTTATCTTCTCCTTCTTTTATTTAGTCCATACACATTTATTAGGCACTTATCATGTATGTAGCAACCTACCATGGTCACACACAATAGCAGAAACCATGAGTATCCCAGAAACAAATCCTCACATTCTTGAGACTGCTCTCCCAGGGAGACATCACAGATATACCCCGAGCTTCAAGTCAGAGAGTGACTAACGGGAAAGCCAATTCGCTGCATAGATTCCACACCAAGTTTCTCAAAGGCTTTCAATTTTTAGTGGTAATTTTATTTAAAAGCTGCAATAATCCACACACATGACTTTTCAAATTTAAGAACTTCTATTTCTAGGCTATTTTTCAACATACCTTTTATTTTAAAACAGACTGTCTTTAAATAACAGCAAAAACAGTAAAGCAATAATTTCCTGTTCTACTTGCTCATACTTTATCAAGGACTGTACATTTCTGAAATGACAATGAATCAGAAACTCTTAAATCTATGATTCTCTGGCCTCCCCTGTGGCACAGTGGTTGAGCGCTGGGTTGCAAAGCTGCCTGCGGCCTCTGCAGCACCGGTTCGATCCCCAGCTGCTCCCTGGCCCCCGGAGGAGGGTCCCACATGGCACGCAGACCTCTCTTGCCGCCCACTGCTCCCCTCATCAGTGTACTTCGGTCCTCCTGCCTGCTCTGCTCCCTGCTCTGGCTCTGGTGAAATCTCTCACCCTCCTGCGCTTCTGACTGTACCCAGTGCTTGTATAAATAAATAAATACATATTTAAAAAAAATCTATGATTCTCTTATCTACCTTGTAGTGGAACACAACTGAGGATTTGGTTTTTATTGATTTTTTGTGAATTTGTTCTTTTTCTCTTGAAAATGGTTCCATTCTCAAATATCTTAAAATGTACTCCAATCTACTGCTGCTGTTTCTGCCTAAAGATGTCTTTTCTTGGGGGAAGGCAGAGGATCAGTAGATATTCCTATATTTTCTGGGTCTCAGGGCACAGTAAGTTTTGGGCTTAGGAATTATCTTGCTCTTAACCCCAGGGTCTATATACTGGGCTTTCAGCCCAGGGATGTTCTGAAAGTCTGGGCTGATCTTAGACAGGCTTTTAAGGTCCCTTATATAACCATGTACAGTTTGAATCTGACCAGTTGAAGGCCTCTCCTGGCTGGTGGGTTTCTTGTGGGATAGCTGAAAATCTTTTTTTTTTTTTTAAAGATTTATTTTATTTATGCATAAAAGACTGGGGTACAGGCCAGAGGTGTGGGGGTGAGAGGATTCACCAGGGACAGAGTGGGGAACAAAACAGGCGGATTGACTGAAATACACTACTGAGGGGAGCAGCGGGCGAGACAGGAGAGGTCTGCTGCACCATGTGGGTAGCTCCCTGGCAGAACAGGGGTTGAACTTGCCCTGCAGTAGCTGCCAACAGCTTGATAGCACTGTCTTTAAGCCCTGCGCCACCAGGGAGGCCGCCCCAAGCCGAAAATCTTTAAATCCACTCTGGTAGTGCCCCTCCCAGGGATTTCCTTTTAGAAAATGAATGAAAATGGACTGGGAAAATTACTCCTAGAGTAACTTTCTCTGATGAGCTCATTTATTTATTTATTTAAAGATTTATTTTTTATTTACAAGAACCGGGGTACAGGGCCTCCCCTGGTGGCTCAGCGGTTGAGCGCTGGGTTGCGAGGCTGCCCGCAGCCTCTGCAGCGCTAGTTCGATCCCTGGCCACTGGAGAGGGTCCCACAAAAAAAAAAAAAAAAAAAAAGAACTGGGGTACAGGCCAGATGCGCAGGTGGGTGAGAGGATTCACCAGAGACAGAGCGGGGAACAGAACAGGCAGACTGACGAAATACACTGCTGAGGGGAGCAATGGATCAGTCAGGAGAGGTCTGCTCACCATATGGGTTGCTCCTAGGCCGGTGGGGATTGAACTGGAACTGCAGAGGCTGTGACAGCTTTACAGTGCTGTGCTCAACCACCTGCGCCACCAGGGACGCACTCTCTGATGAGTTTAAATGTGGCTTGCTTGTGCTGGCTGTGTTGCTTGCCCTCCACCTCACCCTGAGACATGCTCTGTGCCTTCCCCACCCAATCTCTGTATCCTGGAGCAGGTTGCAGTATCCCTTGCTTTCTGACTTTCAGTTGGGTTTGGCCAATGGGAGTCACTTCCAGGACAGAGGAGTGTAAAAAGAGAGAGGTCAGGATATTTCTTTCCATGGCTGTTCCATTGACTTGAGGAGGTGCTGGCATTGGCAGCTATAGGTCCTGTTTTGTGTCCCCTAAGACTCTTCCTTTCTTCCTTCATTCTTACTAATTTAGGAGTCACCTATATCTCTTTGCATTATTGTTAATCCCAGTGTTGATTCCTTCAGCTCTGCCTACATCCCTGTAAATTATCCCTTCTCTTAAAGTCTTAAATTAAAGACTTGCATCTGTTTTCCTCCTGGGAAGGTTCCTGATTGATAGACTTAGCAAGTTACACAGTCTCCGCATGGAAAATCCAAAGACCTTTCCAATTAGAATAAGCTCTCTCCTGGAAGGTGTTTGTATTCACCTTCAATGCCCATAACTACTACAAATGCAGGGCATGAGTCATGATCTGCTAGACTGAGAACTCCTCCAGGGTGGGAACATCTGAGTATCTGTCCCCTGGGTCCCTTAGTCCACCCCTTGGCATACAGTAGGTGCTCAAGAAATGGTCCCTACAGAGGCAGCACCCTGGAGCCCTAAGAGCCTCTAGCCTCAGCTCCCCTCCTCCTGTACTCCTCCCCCATACCACCTGCTGAGTTGCTGGCACCTGTAGAATCTGGATCACCATGCTGGCCAGCTGGTTTATTTTATTTGCTTGACAGAAGGAAGTTCATCCACGTGATTTTTTTTTTTTTTTTTTGCAGTCCCCAGAAAGGGTGGAAATAGTATATTCTGTAGTGAAAAGCTTGTGGAGGAACCCAGCAGGTTTCAGCCTCACCTCCACATTGCTGTTATGTGACAGTTGCACCTCCCCCCCCCAAAGCCTTGAAACATTGTCTTTTGAAATATGGGATTATAGTCTATGCAACAATGAGATGGAGGAGGTGGCCATGAACATTTTCAGGTGTGTTATACACCTGAGGCCTTTCCTAAATTGCAACAGAGGAATTATATTTCAGTTTAGGCAGGCAGGAGGCATGCATTCCCCTACAAACATTTACATCTGGGTAGGCCTGAATTTTTAATATTCTTGGTGAGAAGCATTTTGAGCAATAAATGCACACTAAAAGGCAATTGCTATGGATACTTTTTTTTTTTAAAGATTTATTAATTTATGCATATTTCAGTCAGTCTGCCTGTTCTGTTCCCCACTCTGTCTCTGGTGAATCCTCTCACATCCCCCCCCCCATCTCTGGCCTGTACCCCAGCTCTTGTAGGCAATTGCTATGGAGACTGTGCCTCCACCAGGCATTTCTCTGAGTTCTCTTCTTGGGGCGCTTCAGCATCCTGCGGGTGTCCTAGGCACGCTGATCTCGATGGGGGCCTGGGCGCAGCAGTGTTGGGGGAGTAGGGCAACCTACTTAGGACTGGAACCCTCCTCCAGCATTAAAGGTCGGAGAAGGCCGCCCAAGGTGACGAGTGTAGGGGGGGAAAGGGGTGGTTCCAAGGGGTGCAGGCCCGCAGCTCCGGGACCAAGAGCAGAAGCAGCTAGTGGGGGGCCCCTGGCGCGCAGCCGCGGTGGGTGGCTGCGCCGCGTGCCGGGCCCCCAGGGTGACTGTACCCGCCACCGGGTGGGTAGTGGGACCCGGAACGCGGGCTCCCCCTGTGTGTCTGGCCCAGCACCCCGCCGAGCGGTGCCTGCGGCCGAGAGAGCGCGCGCGCGCCCGTGCGGGGTGTGTGTGTGAGTGTGTGTGTGACAGTGTGTGTCAGGTGACTTGGGTCACGCAGTCTCTCTCCCTCCTCGGGGAGGAACTGCCGCGCTCCGGCTGAGTCCTCCGCCGGCAGGCGGGCGGGGCGGGCGAGGGGCTCGGGCGCGCCGGGCACCGCGGGACCCAGACCCCGACGCCGCCCGCCGCGGGGGACGCGCGCCCCCACCTCCGGGACTCCCGCGGAGCTCCAGACAAAACCCCAATTCAGAAATAGGTTGCGAGCGGCAGGCGAGGAAGCTTGGCCCCCACCGCGGACCTCCGCCGCCCCCGGGGCCGGCGGCTGGCGGAGCAATGAGCCAGGTGCTGGGGAAGCCGCAGCCGGAGGGCGAGGACGACGACGAGGAGGATGAGCTCGTGGGGCTCTCGGACTACGGGGACGGGCCCGACTCCTCGGACGCCGACCCGGACAGCGGGGCGGAGGAGGGAGGTGAGCCCGGGGCATCCGGCCCCCCGCCCCGCGCGTCCTCATCCCGCACCCCGTCCCAGGCTTCTGCCTTCCCGCCCCCGGCCCAGCCTGGCGCGCGGGCCGCGCACTTGGAGGCGATCCCCGCGAGCGGAGTTGCGGGGTGGGGGTGGGGAGGGGCGCGATCGCGAGCTGCAAAATGGGGGAACCCGAGGGCCGGCACCGGAGGGCGCACGCGATCGGTGGGGAGGGCTGAAGTGGGGGGAGTCTGGGTGGGAGCAACGCGCGCGCTCTGTGCGCTGCCGGGGCCGGTACCCCCACCCTCATCCCGAGGTCTCCGCAGAATCTGGGGGTTGGGGAAAGGAGGGGACCGCCCTGCGCGCCCTGGGACCTCGCTCTGCAGGCTGCTGTTGAAGCCGGGGTCAGATGTCGTGGCTAAAAAAGGCAGCGTGACTGGCAGGGTCGCAGGCAGCTGCGGGTGTCAGTCTCGCCCGGGAGAGGAGCAGGGACCGCAGTGGTCTGCACGTGGGGGCCCCTTGGAGCGGGTGGCGGGGGTGCGCCGGGGTGACGTGGGAGTAGCCGAAGGAAGGTCGGTTTCCCGCGATCCTGACAAACACGGTTGTTATGACACCTTATCGACGTCCAGAGGCACCACCTGGCCCAGGCAATGCCCTGCCGGGAACCAGCGCGGGGCGGGGGCGAAATACAGGGCAAATTTTTTCCTGTTCAAGAAGCGGGATCTAGCAATTATAGAGCCCGTGGGGGCTTTCTGTATTTAATTCTTCAGGCGTAGGGACGTTGAGAGGTTTTTAGGATTCCAGAACGACTCGTCTTTTTTTGTTATCCTTCAGAGCAAGGGAAAAGTCCTTTATGTTAAGGTCACTCGAAAAAGGTCAGTGGAAGGAGTCTGTTAAACATAACATCTAGGTGAAGCTGTATGCATCCTAGAGAAGGAACTTTTGAAATGCTTCACTTTGAAGACATGGAGTGAGGGATAAAAGTGCCATTGTGGCTTAATTTTGAACAACTTTTGAGAATTCACTGAACTTATTACAGGTCCCTATAAAAAACATTTTGTGGGCGGACGCTTACATATGGTAGTAGTTACTTTCAATTAATCAGAAAGAGAAGAAAGTTAGCTAAGCCTTGAGCCTGACAAATGAGAAAGAAGCTTTCCAAATCACCCATTTTTTTATAGTTGATTCCCTCTTTGCTTAAACTGTGGTGTGTTCCTGTGTGCTTCTCTCCACTGCACTCCCCATAATTGGTCCCACAGTTGAGCACCCGCCACATTTTTGCAGATAAAGGCTCTCAACCCTTTTGTTGGGAGTCTCTAGGGCTACCTTTGGTAATTAAATTGTTCAGTCACTTCATTATTATTCAAATGGCATTCGTTAGCTCCTGGTACATTCTTTGGAGACTCCTGAGAAATTCAGAATGGGGATATGTTTGCAAGGTATTTGAAATGGTAGACACATAATAAGGTGCAAGTGTGAAGCTCTTTTAAAAATAAAAGAGACTATCTAGGAAGAAAAGTCGTGTGATTTGATATTGTCCTGGGGGCCTCTGGAAAGAGCACTGGGTCTGTTTATTCCACAGTTCTTTAAGGGGGCACTTTGAAAATTGATAGTGGAGACTTTAAAGTGAAATTAATGGGGGCCTCCCTGGTGGCGCAGCGGTTGAGCGCTGGGCTGCGAAGCTGCCCGCAGCCTCTGCAGCGCCGGTTCAATCCCCGGCCACCGGCGAGGGTCCCACATGGCGCGCAGACCTCTCCTGCCGCCCGCTGCTCCCCTCAGCAGTGATTTCGGTCCTTCTGTCTGTTCTGCTCCCCGCTCTGGCTCTGGTGAATTCTGTCACCCTCCCGCGCTTCTGACTATACCCAGTGCTTGTATAAATAAATAAATCTTAAAAAAAAAAAAAAAAAAAAAAGTATGTATTAAAAAAAAAAGTGAAATTAATGGTTTGTCTGAGTGGTGGGATTTCCTGAACAAAGGATTTCCCCAGCACCCTGTCTTGGATGCTTCCCACGGCTCCTAACCTAAATGTAAACCTGCTTGTAACTGATGCTTTTGATTACTTAAGCAATAAAATCCTCCCTCATGAGTTCTTGGGATCAACCTGGAATCTTGTTGTATAAATATTGACTATCTGTGGTAAGAATAGCAACAAATAACTATTTTCTTCTGCAGATATGAGTGAATGTGGGCCTTTCTCCAACTGGGCCTGTTGTGGACAGGCCGTCTGTTCTCAGATTTCCTCCATTATCTCAGGTTCTTGTTCTTTCCATGTTTTGATAAGAGAGTTTAGGCCTGAATTTAGGATCTATTAGTGTTAGGGGGAAAAGGATGTCCCAAAGCAAATTCCATATAGGCTTTGGGACATCCTTTTCCCCCTAACAATTTAACATTAGGAACTTCACTTTCTAGAGTAGGCTCTTTAATCAGCAGTTCTAACAAGGACTGCCCCTGACAACTGTTATGGGGGTGATAAAGTTCTTGATAGAGGATGCTGAAAGTTGTAATTTTTGTTCTTGGGGCCTCAAGATGCCATTAACAGGTCATCCCAATTTCAAATGGCCCCTGGGCATGCATTGCTTTATAATCCTATGTTATTGCTTGTAAAGTTTATATTTACCTACTGGCAAACCTATGAAATGGAAAGTAGGGTGAAGGGAAGGGCTTATTTAATCGGAGAAAAGATGGATATGGTGCATTTTGAACCAAGAACAGGACATTTCTCTAATGACCCCACTTCCCCCTTCACCTTCCTGACAGACTTGGTTTTAGTGCCCAGTGGAGTCCTAGAGCTTTTTCCATAGGGTTCAGAAATCTGCTCTGGCGGGTTGGATCAGGACTGATTAGCATCACCAGGTAAGTTGCAAAGCAACTTGTCAGGAGCTGTGCCAAAAACTAGATTGAAGGGAGTGTGATTTTCATTCACTTTAGTCTTATAAGGAACCTCTGATCTTATTTTTAAATGGAGTGCCTCTCTTTACCACATAGTGCTAAGTTTCAAAACATAGTGCAGCTAAGGTGAAACTTAAATTGCACTTCTTTGGCTTGCACTGCATATTTTATTCATGAATAGCAGGAGTGTTCTAGGGCACTTTAGCACTGTCAAGGACAGATTTGGGCACCTCTCAACTGCCCTTTCAGTTGCCTGTCTTAGAGATGAGTCTCACCTGCAGTCCTCAGCTCCAGGTAAAACTCCAGAGAGGAGGAAATAATTAAACCATTGAAAAGATTGAACCAGAAGTGATTGTCTTTGACTCATGGACTCTCAATCTTCGGTACATGATTTGTACTTTAAAAACTAAGGGAATAAGGGAAGCACTGAAAAGATCATATTTAACCAGAGAGAGAAACTGGTTTTCCCCGAAGTACCTTCCAATTTTTAGGGGAAACTTGGCTAAGACAGTTCTTATCCACAGTCCCCCTAAGTGTGGTTTTGTTCTCATAGTAGCCTTTGTACCTCTTAGGGACTCAGGAAGTGACAGTTTAGGTGATTTCTAGAGGCATGAAAAATCCAAGGTCAGCAGGTGATATTTCCTGATGGGTGTAAATGCAGTGAATTCAGTAATTTGCATCTATTTATCACTAGTGTCAGCTTTTATTTTCATTTAATTTTTTTAAAAATCAGTGAATTCACCTCATTTCCTTGAGAATGAGTAGATCGAATTGCTCTGCTGTTGAAGCCATGGCTTAGAGATGGCAGGGTACCTTTCTGCAGCCATGTCACAAAGTAGAAGTGAACAGGTTTAGAAGAGGGTCAAATGCATGGAAGTCTAAGTTCCTTTCCTTGTAATATTGCCTAGTCCATAAAGAATAGTGTTGACTACAGTGCTGGCCATACCTAATCTCTTGGGTTTCCTTCTGGCTCTGGAAATACACAGGTATGGAATTGGAATAGAGGGGAGTACAGAAACTGTTATAGGCCAACCCCAGTGTGAAATGGGTTGGCCTGACTTTGGGTCCTCACCTGCACACTTAAAAAGGACTTATGGTTGAGACTCAACTTCAGCCACACACAAAACGGATAATAAAGGGCTTGTTTACAAAAAGGGGAAATGAAGAAACGGATAACTCAGGGAGAAAGAGAGCTATATTGGTAGCTATAGCAAGCCCCCCCAAGGACCACATGTCTGCTTAACTCCATCTTCAGTTCCCAGCAATCTTTCCTTTGGTGGTGATGACGTTATAGGATTTATAGTCCTTGGTGTTTTGGATCTCTTTCGTCTAGGGGTGGAGGGTGGGGTCCATAAAACCTGTTTGTGGAGTTCGTAAAGGACATCCTTTCCCCCCAACAAATCGTTAAAATTTGACAAAGGTCACACCTGAGGCACATGCTTGTTCAAATATATATACTTAGCGTGTATATTTTTATATCAGAAGTTTTGTAGACATGTTTCAATGACTTAAGGCACCATAAAGTCTTGTTTTTCCACTTTCACTAAAAGTCTCTCCTATTTAACATTAGAATAGACACAGGGTTGCCTAATGGAAATAGTTAGAAACAGCACGTTTCAGAGTTCTGGGGTGTAGCTGAGTTTGAAAGTTCACCTTGTCAATCCCTAGATGACTGTGTGTCTTTCCTAATTCACCTTCTGCTTTATTCTGCCCCCTCCCCCCATAGCTATTGTTAATGACACAATTTCACTTCCTACCACAGCCATCTCTTTCCTGCTCATTTTTGTTAATTTTTTTCTTCTCTGCCTGCTATATTATTCTTGTATCCCTTACCTTAAAAACACAACAATAAATCCTTTTTATTCTCCCTCTTTCGTCAAAATCTGAAACCCTCCTGTGATAGGGCTTTCCTGGTTCTGCTGTGACACTTAAGACAAATAGGTTTTCACTCCTGGCTTCAAGTGTCCAGGGAGCTGGTCGACTTTCTCCTCATGAGGACTTTTGGGGAAGATTCCAGCTTGGATTCTCAGTGTGTAAAATTGAGTATTACATGAAACCAACCATGATCGCTTCTCAACGTGATTGTTAAAAAAAAAAAATTCACAAGAACACATTTCC